ACAACACATTCTTTAAAAAAAGAAATGCAAATGTGGCAAGTTCCAATTTTCTTTGCAGAACTTTTATTGTGAGTCAGTGTAATTTTTCCATTTGATCCATCCCCAAGCTATGTGATCTACATCTGTACCACAGCAAGGAGGAGTTATTGCTTATCACAGCCTAGAATTTTGGGGGGTTTTAATGCAATCTGAAATAATCTTTTTTTACATCAGTATAGACTTTCTCATATCTTGCTCCTTGATTTTTCAAAAAAAAGTGGATTATGAATTTGATTTTCAAAACCTTTAGAAAATAATAGAAAAGTGAACAAATGACAGTTAAAATTTCTGTACTCCTCCACCCAGACCCATGAAAGCTTGAGGAAGAATTCAGGCAGCCAGAAGCCACACATTGAGACAAGGCACTTTAAGTCATCAGCTACATTCCCAGGCAGGCAGTGCACATAGGCTTCAGATGTTTTTATATAGATGCATTACGAGGTAGCATCAAAAATCCGCACTGGGACTCTCTGTGATACTTGTGCATTGCTGGAAATTTCTGGTTTCAGTCTCAGCTGATAAAAAAAAATAAATCTGATGGTTATTAAAAATATGAACCACTGTTTTGGCTAAATACAAATACATGTTAAATTTTCACTCCCTTAAAATTTAAATGATGCAGCTCTCCCCTTTGGTTAGTGCATTGCAACCATCCAGGTAAGCAGGACAGCTCAGAAAAAATTTTGGATGTTCTTCTGCCAAAATTAACTGTTGTATTTCAGTAACTGACAAAGGGGTTTTTGGGGCAGGTTTGAGTTATTTGGAGTGAATAAGATTTAGGCATTTTTCACTTGGTTGTTCTCCTTCAGTAAACCTTTTGGAACTAAAACCTGTAGGTTTACATCTACGGTGGAAAAGGAACATCAGCCCCAAGGGTGCGGTTCTAATTCTCCTTTCTGCTTTTTTTGCTTGGGTTGGGTTTTTGCTGTTTTGGCAGTGGGTTTTTGTCTGTTTGGGGGTTTTTTGTCACTCAGGAGAAGGTAAATGACCAGGTGGAGTTACCCCACCATTTTTGCAAAGGCCAGGTGCCCGTTGCCAGGCTGGCGGAGCAGAGGCCCGGTGCCTGCGGTGCACGTGTGGCTCAGATGGGAGCGCGCCCGGCAGAGCCAGCGCTCCGCTCCCGGTGCTCGGAGTCTCACACTGCGAGCTCCCAGCACCACATGGCTGACAGAGACACCAGAAACCCCTCACACACCCAGCCCAGCCCACTGGGCACAGAGAAAAGCAGGTCTCTATTCTGCCTGCATCCCTGACAGCAGACCAAGGTGTGTGAATTCTCTCTCTCTTGCCTTCTTTTGGTCTGTGTAACTAAAGCACATAGATAATGTTCAATTATCTTCAATTCAAAGCTGGTATGTAGGACAAATAGAAACTATAATTAAATTATATGTTACTATATAATTAGTAAGACCGTGGTACCATGGAGTACTAGAAAGCTAAGTCCAGGAGGTTTTCCTCTGGTTTAAATATTTAAAGATACATATGCATAACTTCTCACGGAAACATTCTGCTCAACTGTGCCCATACCTCAGACCAGAAAAAGTCAATTACCTTAAAAAAAAAATTATTCTTAGCTGATTTTATTATCTTTCCAGCAAGTTTTAGAAGCACGACAAAGCTAGATGTCAAGGAAGACTAAACCAAAAGAGTGGAAAGTTTGAAGAAATATGTTCTCCCTGGCCTCAGTCCTTCCTCAACCCTGGCCTTGCACATGTGCTGCCAGCAGTGACAAATCTTCCTGTTCTTTTTCTATAATTCTTTTGCATCTCCTCTGTCCTTATTTGCAGCTTGTAATAAGCTGTATTGTAAAGGTGTCCCTTACTCTTTTTTTCTAGAAGTGGGACTAAACTGCCAGCTAAACACCAAACTGAGATAAGGCACAAGGCAGGCAGGCCAACTCCAGCTTTAACTCTACCACAATTCAAGGCTGATTTGTATTTTCAACTGTCACTCTATGGTTTACAAGGGGAAAAGTGTGAGCAAAGATTGAGATTTTCCTTCTATAAATTGTGGAAGGGTGAGGGGCAAGTGACAGATCTCATTTAAAAGCCTTATTGAAGTAGCCGTGTTGAATGATGGTGCCATTGCTTGTCTCTATGTCTTATTGTCATAATGTAAAGCCTTTCATAATTAGAAGAAACCACAGAAGTCAGGATAAAGTACAACAGATCCAGAAAGAGCTGGAAACTTGAGGAAGGGAGGGGAAAAAACCAAACCAAAAAAACCACAAAAAACCAAAAAACAAACAACAATAGACACAGGCTGGAGAAGATATTTTATTTATTTGTTACTAGTAGTTAAAATGACGTATAAAATGCTGGGAAGAAAAAAACTTCCAATTCTATTCAGTTACAAAATAATTAAAACTTCATTTTAAACCAAGTTTTGCTTTGTGAGACCGAGCACGAAAATACTGCAGCCTTAGGTTATATAGTCCATTGTTTTTAGAATAAAGCAGACATTTAAATACATATTGTGGTTGATATTAAATATCTCATATAATTGTAAGTTAGCAGAACTTTCTTACTCTCAGGCAATAACTAGCAATTCATATGGGTGAGGGGGATCTGCCTCAAAGGGAGTTCCATCATGATCTATGCACAGGCAGTTTTAGAACATAAAGATTTGGAATACTTTTATCAATTTTCCTTGAGAATTCTAGACAAAACTTAAAGGAGTTTCTGAAGCTATGCTTAACAGCTAAGGGGTTAGGGACATAGCAGTCTCTGTCAAAGAAAATGTGAATTTTGCTGTCAATTCTACATGAAGAAAAAAAATCATTCATAAGGTGTTCCCATTTCTTGAACAAAAACCCAAGCTAGTACAAAATTTCCAGCAATGACTGAGGTTGGCCCTTTCCCCTGGGGAAAAAAAATTTAAAAAAAGAATTTAAATGAAAATATTCCCTGCCTATTATCAGTGAAAGAGAATTTGTATTAATAATAACATTAAATATCCTTATCTTTCTGTTTAACTATTCACATTCCACACAGTGGAAACCTACCTCCTATAATTCCAGATTTTAAAACTGGATTTTAAACCATGAAAACGTGTCAAACTGCTGAGTGAGAGTATACCAAATGAAATGCATTTTAATAATACCAATAAATGGGCTGTAATAATTTAATTTTACAAACACAGACCTCACAGCAGTGGATTTTAGAACAAAAATGGACGAGCTGTAGAGATGCAGGATATCACCAATAAATGTATGATGCATTACATAACAGGTGGGAAAATTGATAAAATGAGGCCACATAGAATGCACCTGTGACATGCCACTCATATCTTTCCCTCTGGGCATGTAACCGGGGGCAGAATTGCCCTCCTTAATACACTATGGCAAGAAATCATGTCAAAATAATCACCTTGTGGCTGAGAGAGGCATCTGGTGGGAGAGAGCAGAGTTATACTGATAGTGAATCCTACAGAATATTGCTGCTGAGTGGGGAAACTGAGTCCTGGATCCTCCAAGACCCATCACACAGTAAGTGTGGACCTTCGAGTGCTCAGGATAGCGAGGACAACACATGCATGGATGGGCTGCCTCTGTGGTCCAATCCCAGGACATACCTCATTAAAATAACTTTTTTGTAGGAACTTCTGTGCTCTTGCCAAACTTTACAGCCCTGATCAATTTTAAATTCCTAAGCCTGAAGGAAAGAAAAGACAAGATAACCTCACAGGCGAGAGTCATCAAGCTGTTGGAAATAGGGTGTCCCTTTTTATGTTTTTTCCCCCCATATGAGAGGGGCAGTCAGCCCTAAGTGTTCAGGAAATTCTCTTTACTTACTCCAAATCCAGTTTAAATGCAAGTCTGTGGTAAAAGATATAAAAAGAGGATCATTGCTGGCAAAGTTCTGCATCTCTGTTTCAACAAACTGCATGCCTGTGGCAAAGCTAAAATAACAATAACAATGCAATGTTTACTAGTCATGAATGTCGTGTCTTTTGTCTCTTGTGTGGTTATTGCATTTTCAGTCACATGATGCTTGTTTTAATTTCTGCTCTGCTCTTTATGTACTAAATTACTGCCATTCTGTACTTGATCTTGGTTAGCAAGATTTTTGTGCTGTGGTTATGTATGTGTGTGAAAAAGAAGAGTTTGGTTACACACAATGAAGTAGGCACACTCACTGCATGTATGTATAGATACCACTGCCTAAAAGATACTGCATATACATATATATGTAGATATGAAGAATAACTGATATCAGAAATAAAAGACATCAAATGGATCTAGTGGCATAAGAATGGGTTCTGTTTGGTTTGGAGAGCCATCAGAATTCATAAGTATATTTATAGCCTGGTATATAGTTTCTTTTTAATTTATGTAATATATGACTAGGTATATAAATTAAAGCAAAACGTAAACAGAAGACAATATCTCTTCCTCTGTGTTTTCCTATTTATGTACCTTTCCTTTTTCTACTCCCTTTTGTATTCTCCCTGTCTACTTGCTTTGACCTTTTGCTTTCTAAGTTGCTGTAGATCTGTTTCCCATCCACCTATACTGACTTTTCAGCACTCCCACATCCCCCCATTGTTCTCCAGACATGGATTTTGGATTGCAGCTATTTTTTTGAAGAAGCGTGTTACAAACTCTCAACACAGCTTCTATTTTCAGTGATGGCTGTGCTACACTTTAAATTGCTCTTTGTCTATTTCTTATGTAAGAATAGATTCGTGCTTTGAAATATATTGTCCTCTTGCTTTGATGTTTCACGTAATACAGTAAAAGCAAATAGCACAAAGGTGAACATTCGCAAAAGCCACAGCTCCACTTTCCCAGCAAGCGGCAAAATTGTGAATATACACATGAATTCGGAAACCTAATTCATGACTATGGGTAATTAGGAGTTTTTTAATGTCTCAAACGCTGTTTTTGTTTGTTGGTTTGTTTTGTTTTTGTTTTTGTTTTTTTTTTGTAGTGAACATTCATGCATTTGCTCATCCATATCTCCATTTTCTCCCTTACACACACACACATGCATGCCCTTTCCTTACATGAATTTTTTCTTTCTTTTTGGGGGGTTTTGCTTGTTTTAGGTAATTCACTAGGTCCCTTTCAGTTTTGCCCAGCCTTGAAGGTAGGCTAGTTCATGCCACTCACTCTCACAACGGCGGTGATTGCATACAGTCAGAGTGCAATTGCTACTTTTTCTCCATTTAGTCCAAGTCAATAGATATACACCGGCACTCCTTAACTCGGGTGATTCTTTTTTTCTTCCTTGGGGGCTGAAGCTCGGGGCAATTGAGTGTAACAGTCATAGTGGTGAATTTCTTGGGCTTGCAGAAGGAACAAGACTGGAAGGAGCCTTCTTCTTTACGGACGTGCCTGGGGATGTAGAAGGAATTGCACTGGCCATAGCAGAACCTGTTGATGATGGTGCGGCTGTTGCAGCCCTCCTCGTGGATAGTTTGTTTGAGGGGCTGGGTTTTGCACCAGTCCCGCTTCAGGTACTTGCGCTCGGTGATGTGCAGCGCCTCCTGGCTGGACTCCAGCACCTCCTCGGCAGGCATCGAGGTGCCCTTCCCTCGCTCTCGGTGCCTGGAGCCTGACTGCTGCTGTGTCTGCATCTGCTCCGAATCATTGGGCTGATCCTTGACAGGAGGAGGGATAGCGCCCTGAGATCCACGATTCCGCTTTCTCCCTTCGGCCGCTGGCAGCAGAAACCCCATCAGGAGAAACAGGGCACCGATGGCACACAGTGTGCGGACCATCCTGCAGGAAGGAAGGTGAGGAAATAAAGCACAGTTGTGGATTTCAGATATCAACAGAAGCCAGGTATGCACTAAATTTTCAGCTCCATAAAAAAAATGTGCGCACACACACTTATAAAACATAAGAATTCAAGCCTGTACCAGCTGGAAAGCTGTTCCCAAATTACCAAGTGATAAAAGCTTTCAAATAGAGGATTGAAAGTAAGTCCAAACAGAATTTTGTTTGTGTGTCCTCCATCTTTTTCCAGCTTTTTTCTCCAAGTGCATTACCCTCATTCTCATTCCCTTCTTACAGCTCACTAACAAACAGGAAGATTGCTCCTTACTTACAATGGTGGAAGAACAAATTTTATACTACACAAGGATTCATTGCATGATACAGCTATCTACAATACCAGAGGGCTCAAGTCTTTGTCTCAGCAGATGTAGTCTAGATTTCTGTTTCCTAATCAGACTCAGAAACTTCATACAGCTCCTTGAATAATGTACATCCAGTATATAATGTATATGTTTTATATGTTATACGCAGCCTGTTTTACAGCTTCCCAACCTCTGCCACACTGCACCTCCAAAGCAGTCCAATGTATCTGAGTGCAATGATGCTTAAGCTGAGAGATGTGCAACAAGTCAGGCAACAAACATAAAAGAATATTTAGGTACACGTTAAAAATAGATGTGGCTTATAATTTCAAACTACATCCTCTCACACATTGTGCTGAATTCTTGATTGAAGTAATACAGACGCAATCACAGTACTGAGAATTTTTCAGATCCCTAAATTTTATTCATTTTACACAGAATGGTGTTGTTGGAGGACAGAATTTTGTAAATGACATTAAATATCACAGAGTTTGTGCATATAAAAAAAGACCATTTCAGGAAGTGCAGTTAAGTGGAGATGATCAGGTCCTTCAAAACCGTATGGCTGCCCCAGACCTAATTATTGGGTAGGAATAACTTTCCTACTTATACTTTCCTCCCTTATTCCACCATTTCTGTTGCTTCCCAAATCTGAGTTCTTGAAGCTGTTCCGTCAGCTTACAACACCAACCAGCACAGAAGAAGCTCATCAGTGTCACACTTCCCCCTTCCAGATGCACCATGGTCCCCAAGTTTTTCTGAAAGGAGCTATGGGTAGCAAGACAGTCAGGTGAAGTAGTAAGTCTCTGAGGGACACTCTCCATGTGGAAGCGTGAAGGAAGGCACCAGAAATGAGCAACTAATTGTGAAAAAACCACTGTAAAACACTAAAATTGTGAAGAGGCAAAGGACTGTGAAAAAAAAATGCTGAGGAAGTCATTGTTTTCTACCTGCTTGGAGTGCTGCAGTTACATCCCTTGTTTGACTTGCTTTATTAGTATGGAAATAAAATAGCATTTAAATTGAAGGATCCTTCTTGTGTTACTGCCCGAGAAACATGTGAAACCATGGGCACTGTCCTGGACGGCTTCATCCGCTCTGCTGAGACCACACAACTAGGCAGGAAAGCAGCCAAATGTCAGCGCTGTGAGGGCCACCTAGAGACTCAGCAGAGGCTCAGGGTAAGTCCTGTTTGCTGTAAAAAATAACTGCTAATTTCTCAGTTATCAGGTCTTCCCAGTCACACGGAGGAAATAAACGTTGTGCTGTTCAAACAGCCTTTCTCATAAATGGATTGAGAGAGGAATTCCTGAAGTAGCAAAGTGTCATAGGGGGTTCTACTACATTCAGGGAGTTGCTTGTGGATCTAAAATTTTTAGTGTTTGTCAGCAGATTTCTAGAGCACCTAGAGTTCCTGATGTGTCACAGATGTACACATTCATTTCAGCAATCTAGGTACCAGCATGTCCTGTGTTTGGCAGTCAAGGAAGGGGTGTAAGAGTGATACAGCTGGTGACTCCAACAGACAATCTGGAAGGGCTGCTGTTAGTATCTAAATGGAATATGGTATGGAACGCACAAATTTAATAACCTTAACACTTTGACATAGACAAAAATAAGTTGGGAATTCCAATTAAGGAATAACGCAGCATAATTTCAAGTGTCAGCCTGGACTTCACATTTGCTGTTTTTTCCTCATCTCTATTACAACCTGAATATTGTTTAGACACGCTTAGTTTTAATTTTTTCTTAAAAATAAGTTTTCAGAGAATTATTAACTATTGCTTATTCCGTTAAGAGATCAGAATGATTTCTTCCAAAACTATTCTTATTTCTCTGGTGACTGTCTAGTCACCGCTATTTTAATATGCACTTTATTTACTCAATATGGTGCCAGTCTTAAAAGAAAAAAAAAGTTATTGCATGAAGTTGAAAATAAATTGCTAGGTTGTAAGCAGTGCCAGAAAACTTCAGGTGTTTATTTTATTTAGTGTCCCACAACTTGGATGAGGTTCCACCAACATGCATATTCCTGGATTACTTTTATTTTTAAAACTGATTAGCTACACATTGTTTTCTTTCTTTTTTTTTCCACCACAGATGGCACAGCAATGTCTAGTCCTACAAAAATGAGGTGTATTCTGGGATGGGAATCTGGGGAGAGTTTCATAGTAATATATACTATTGTAAGGTCTGTGGCCCAGATTCATGCAACTTTATGAAGCACAGGCTTATCCCTAAGGAAATGCAAGCATGTGTTTCAGTGTAATCCTAAACTGGGAAGAGGTAATTTTTCACTGGGTTGGTTTCCAGCCTTAAAGGTGGAAGCTGCATTACATGCCCATAAAAGAAATTGTATCTCAAATGAAAATTAGCCACTCAGCAGAAACATTTGTTATGGTCACTTCCGAAACACACATCTAAAAGTAATCCAGAAATGTAGGGATAAATACAGGTTAAATTCAGAAGAGGCTGTGTGAACAGCAGCTAAGCAGGATCGTTTTTTAATAACTGATTAAAATTTATTTTAAAATTAAGATTTTAATTTTTAAAATGAAAAACACAAAGGAAAATGAGGTGGTAAGGCTCAGGAAGGAAAGCAGCCGAAATGCAGTATGGGCACCCTGCAGCACCTCTGGTGCCAGGGCAATCAATGCTTCTGCTTATGAGAGAAGATGACACCTTGGCTTACATTAGGAAGTGAAGTGGTTCATCTCTCTATGAGTTAGCAGTTGTGAATGTGTCTTTAACAGGTTTTTTTACTGAAGGAAGTAAAACAGAGAAGAGGACAGTAGGAGTAGCTAAAATCAGCATTACCATACCAAAAGTTTTACTGAAGAGAAATGTCTCCTGAAGTAAATGCTTTTTCTCCTCATTACAGTCATAATTCCACAGGAGTGTAGCTCTGCAGCTGTGAGAATCAGGCTGTAAAAGCTTATATTCTATGTTTCTGCAAAATTTTCATTACTTGATACCAACTGGCTGTTACACTGGCATAACAAGAAATCCTCTGGAGAATTCATTTGAGAATCCTTTGAACAAACAGATGACCACAACCAAAATGATCAATTCCCTCATTTCATTCAGATCCAGAGAGATATGACAGAATTAATATTTTTTTTTTAAGTAACACAATACTACAAAACTCTATTCTTTCCATATTCCACTGCTGAGTTCCACTTTTCATCATCTGTAAGCTCTTAGTCCTAAAGCCAAAAGAAGTTTTATTGCTGACTTCAAACAGGAGCAGAATTGGGCCCTAACATTCATATCACTTCATATGTGGTTTATCTAGAGCCTGAGATCTCATCATCTAAAACAGATTAAGAAACGTGTGGATTAATACTAGCAACTATTGAAAGAGAAATGTAAATGCTTTCAGGTTTACTATTTCATACAATTAGTTTGTAATTTTTTTTCATTTATACATTTTCTGCTATGAATTAAGGATCTCCACATGTCAGTTCATAGACAGAATTTCCCTATGAGTTCCTAGGCAGAGTCAGAAAGTTACTAATGACATTTTTAGCTCAACACAATTTGTTTAAAAGGTCTGGATGGAAAGCTGGTTGAAATACCCAGCAAAATTGTCACAGATCTTAATAGGCCTGTAACCTCATCTGTAAACCCCTTTTATTAGCAAAATATTATGAAGAGCCATGGACTCCCGTGCTTCACAAGAAACATGAAAAATAATCTGATGAAGAACTAAAAAAAAAAACAACCAACAATTATTTGGTGGACTTCAAATACAAGCCAAAGAAAGACACAAAACACAATCCCTTTGACTACTGCGAAAATAGAAGTGGTTTATGTCCCGAAGGATCAGAATAATTTTATGCCTTGCATATTACGTCTGAATTACAGAAACACTCTTATGTAATGTTTTCATAGTTCATAGATCTGTATTTTTAAATATTAAAAAAAGCATAGTAATGGCAGTTCCCAGAAAACTGCATTTTTTTTCTGAAATCAAGACAGCAAAACTAACATCTGTGTTTCATAGAATTTGGGTATATTTACATTTCAGAAAATTTCTTCTTGAGAGTAATAGAGATGGGGGGTTTTGAGACTTATAAGGAGTGTAGACAGCAATTTTAAAACAAACAAACAAACCAACCAACCAACCCTTGAAACCTTGAGAATTCCCCGTTTAAGAAACTATTTTTCTGCAGGACATCCTATGGGACTCCCGGGATGCTGAACATCATGGTGGCCACGGCTGGTACCAAACCCGGGTTTGCCTCGCCTTTAGAGGCTCACGCAGCCTGACAGCTCCCAGCTTCCCAGCGCCGAGCTCCCTGCGGACACATTTCCTCAGGGAGCCCTACAACAACCGGGAGAGCTTTGCTTCTCTCTCTGCGCTGCCGTGCGTGCTGAAAAGGAGAGTCTTCAGCAGAAGCTACGCATTTCTGGGTAGCACTGCCGACAGAAAAAAGCCAAATGCTTTAGCACAGCTTGGCAGTGAAGGCTGAAGAGGAGCGGAGCGCTACGGCCATCGGTGCCTTTGTCACTCACACACGGCCCCAGCGCACGCTGGCTGGTTATCCCCGGTGTGCCGGGCTCACAGAGGAGCGGGGCAGGAGCGGAGCGCTCCTGCAGCCCTCGGGTCGCGGGCCGGGCTCAGAGGCAGCTGAGGC